TTAATAAAACCACCCAGAGATTACAAAAAGAATTGACATAGAAATGCCGGCTAGATGGCTTTTGTTTTTGCGACTTTGGGTTTGAACCCAGGCCTTTTCATGTCCTAGACAGGTGCTTGATCCACTAAGCCACACCCTCCATCCACCTAGGTGCTTTTTCCTGTTGGCCTCTTACTCCCTCTGACCTTTAATTTACCTGCTTGTTTCCTTACTTGGACTGAAGGGATTGCCTCTTCTGCCTTTATGCCACACATTTGGACACCCAAGCATCTGTGCGTGAGTGTGTTGTTTTGGTGTCCTTGTGTGTGTTCAGCACACACGTCCCTGTCCGGCTCTGCTCTTCTGCTCCTCCCAGGCTTCCTCTTGACCTGTACCCTCTCCAGCTTTTCTTCCGTTTTTAACAACCTGGTAATTGGGTTGAGCTGAAGGAAATTGAGCAGCTAGATAGAGCTAAGTGGGATGCTTTCAGCAGCAGCCAGCGTGGTTCGTGTCAGCCGTCTCCTCCCTGCTGGGGAATCGGACAGCCGGTCCTGAGGCTGTGTCAGTTGTGATCAGTTAAAAGTAAAAGCATGTTCAGTCAGTGACGGCTGTGGTAGCTCATGAAACAGATCTGAGAATCACAGTTCAAAGCCAGCCTAGGTAGGGAAGTCTATCTCAGATTAATCAGGAAAAAGCTAGATGTGGAGTGCGGCTTAACCGGTAGTGCACCAGCCTTGAGTGAAAAGCTAAGGGCAGTGTCCAGGCCCTGAATCGAAGCCCCAGTATTAACGTGGTGGGGGAAAGTACACCAGGTCCAAACGTTTGCCTGTCTTTTGTTTTCTACAAAACAATGGCAGGCCATTTTCCACCATGACTCAAATCATCCACAAACAAATGAGCAGGCCTTTCAGGGAGCACGGTGATCTTCCAGAAGAACGTGGCTGTGGATTTTGACTGGTTCCTCTGGGGCCTCCTGCAGGCTCGGGTAGTCCAGACAGGAAGCTCAGAGGGAGGGCACCCCCTTAGAAGCTGGCTTTCCTTGGGGACCTGTGAGTCAGAGCTGCAGCTGTCTGGGGAGCCCAGCAGGCTGACTGGGTCTGCGCCCCCTGGAGAGAGACCCCAGGCGTGAGTTGCAGATGGAACTGCTGGGCTGAGGTGGGAGACATTTGTTTACAGTCCTTGGGAGTCCTGCGGGGCAGAATGGAATGGAGCATGGGAAGTCAGGGAGCTCAGTGGCTGGGATCCAGGGTCCCCCAGTCTTTGAAGTCATGGCTGTGTTGAGTTTGAGAGTCTCAGATGTTGTGTGGAGCGGAGGGAAGCTTTCTGCCCAGTTAGCGTCTAAAGGGAGGCTGCTTGCTCATAGATCTTAGGTCGAGCTCTAAGCAGCCCGTTTGCATTTTCTGGGAGGCTGTGGAAGGATCAGGAGGAGGCAGAGGATGTGAGCTGTAGCCCTATAAGGGAAAGTATGCAGGGGCCTCTGTGTCTCATGCCTGCAGCAGCTGGAATGCGTGTGTGCCTTGGAAGGCCCAGCCCCTGGTCACCTGCTGCCCGGGAGCATGGCCTGTGTGTCCCCCCCATGTCCCAGGTGTGTTCTGAGCATGCCACCCAGGACACCTGCTAGGAGAGGAGGAGCCGTCATCTCTGCGGTTCTGTCTTGAACACAGCCCTCCAGGAGGTTGGGTGCTGGTTCATGAACTCGCACTCAGCACACACACATGCTGTTCGCCAGCGTCGTGCTGGACAGACAACTCACCCAGGCAGAGAAGTCACGCTGTGGTCCCCGCCACCTGCTCAGCGGGGACCTCAACACAAGAGCCTTGAACAGTGTAACGTGGGAAGGGGCTGAGGGCAGATCAGAGGTGGTGACAGCCAGAGAGAGACGACCAGGTGGGAGACGGAATAGTGTGTGTGCACGCATGTGTGTGCACTTGTTGTGTGTGTGCATGCACATGTATGTACGCGTTAGGGATGGGTGAGACACACCAGACATGGACCAGCAGCATGTGTAAAGTCTCATGGGCAGAGCCAGAGGGAACTTGAGCTGCTGAGAGCTGCTTGTGTGTGTGAGGAACAAGCAGGTGTGAAAAGAGAGGAATTTGGGAAACGAAGAAAACTAAGATCCCGAAATGGGCTTTGGAGAAACTGGTGGGGAAGGTCAGGGAGGCTATTGGGGAGGCTGAGGGCAGGAGAATCTCAGGTTGGAGGCCGGCCTGGGCATTACGCTAGAGACTGCTTCTGAATGTACAGCTGGGCACGGTGGTTTCTGCCTGTCAACCTAGCCAAGAGGGAGGGATGTTGTTCCAGGACAGTTCGAGCAGAGAAGAGACGTGATCTGAACAGAAAGAAGCTGGTAGCTGTAGCCTGCTGTGGAAGTGGGCAGTCAGAGGTGGAGGCCTATGGAAGGACTTTGCTAGGAGAGATTGGCTTTTGGTTTTCTCATTTGTGCAGTTGCCTTTAGGTTTAGACATCAAATCAAAGCCTCTGGGAATTTTCAGGTTTTATCCTATCTCCTGGACCACTTTATACACAGTGTGGTGTTCAGGCTTTGGCCCAATCGCACTGTGAAGCCATCGGGGTTGAGGCTTGTTTTGGGGGGATTCCTTGATGACAGTCTGACACATGGCGGTCTTCTGAGCAGTGATCTGTTTTGCCCGGCTCCCGCTGGATGTGCAGTCTCTCACAGAACAGCCTTCCTCGCTGTTTGGTGCTGCGAGGCTGTTGATGAGCCCCGGTGACCGACAGCCTCCACCATGGGTCCTCGATCTTTGAGTTCTGATCACGCTGCAAGCATGTGGTCAAGGAGCGGCCTGCTGGATGGATGCGGGCTCTGCCGCACACTAGCCCACGGGTTCATAATACCCATCCTTTCTTTAGCAAGAGGGAGACAACTTGGGGAACTGTTTACTCGTATTACATGACTTAGAAAAACTGGAGCTGGGATTGTAGCTGTGTGCTTCGAAGCCTGGACTTTGTAAAGGGCGGTGGAGGGCAGCAGGGCCATGTGAGCGCCAGAGGCTTAGGATGAGCAGAAGTCCTCCAGGGAATGAGTCCCCGGTTTCCTCGGGGTAGATCTTTGTTTGGGGCCAGTCCCATCACGCTGCTTCATGTCATTTCTACCACTGTAACGTTTTGGAGAGAAGATGTTAAGGATTGATGAGGGAAAACCGGGAAGGAATTTAACATAGTAGAAGGGACTGCCTGCAGACCCTTGGCTGGGATTCAAGGCTGCATAGTTGGAAGAGGTGGGGCTGTGCAACTCCTGCCGTTCCCTCCCCCCTCCTTTCCTCTCCCTCCTTCTCCCCATCCCTCCTGCCTCCCCTCCCCCCTTTCCTTCTACTCCTTTTTTCCTTCTCCTTCCCCTTGCCCTGCCTTTGCCCTCTTCCTCCCCCTCCTCTTCCTCCCCCTCCCCCTCCTCTTCCTCCTCCTCCCCCTCCTCTTCCTCCTCCTTCCCTTCCTCTTCCTTCTCCTCCCTCTCCTCTTCCTTCACCGTCACCTCCTCCTTTTAAAAAATCTGTACCAGCCTGGGCCACACTTCGCTAACATGTGCCTCCATGTGGCTGGTATTACAGGCGTGCACCATTACAGTTGACATGAGATCTCAATACTTTTTGCCCAGGCTGTCCTCTGTGAGTCTCCTGACCTCAGCTTCTTGAGTAGCTGGGATAAGTCAGTGCACCTGGCTCCGACCTCCTTCTCCTTAACACTGGAATTCTGCATCGTACATTGACACTAAGCCGTGACATCAGCTTTGGGGCATGACATCATCTTTGGCAGTTGGCTCTGGTGCTTCTTTTAGCTGAAATCTGCTGCTTTGACACAATGTGAAGGAGCGAGGTGTTTCAGAAGGGACACCCATGTCTTTAGTAGACTTTCAGTTAGGTTGCAGTGGTCGCTGGGATAGGTGTTCTCTGGCAGAAAACCTTGGCCAGCTTGTCATCAGATAAAGAAGATAGCCAAAATACTCCAAGAGCTCCGAAAGTTAAACAGTAGAACAAAGATTGCCATTAATAATTACATATGTGAATTGAACTGTTCTCAGAAGAAGAAATATAAACAGCTAATTGATACATGAAGAAATGTTCAAAATCCCTAGCCATAAAACAAATTCAGGGCCAAACTCCACTAAGATTCCATTTCGCCCCAGGCAGAATCAGGAAGACATCCTGGCGAAGATATGGGGAAATGGACCCTCAGACACTGTTGGTGGGAGCACCATGGGGGTCCGTGTGGAAGTTCCTCACACAATTAAAAGCATCTGCCTTCCGACGGTCCTGCCACCCTAGAGCTGTATTTGAAGGAATTTAAGTGGAAACACAGCCTAGATACCCGCACACCCGGGTTTGCAGAGCAGTGTTCACAGTAGCCGGACTGTGGAATCAGCCCAAGTGCTCTCCACCTGAGTGGACAAAGAGAAATACGATGGGTGTGTGTGTGCATGCATGCACACACATGCGTACGCATGCACATACACAACAGTATTAGTCTGCACTAAAGAAAAGTGGAATTATCCTATTGCAGGAAAATGAATGGAACTGGAGGTCATCGTGTTAAGTGAAACAGACCATGCTGGCAGACAAACACTGCATACCGTCCTATTCAGAATCGAGTCGTTCCTGAATGACAGGAACATGAAAGCGGGACTGTGGGTAGAAACGTGAAGGGGAGGGTGTAGACAGAAGGAGAGGGTGCGCTCGGGTGAGATGGTTGGATTTTTATGCAGGTATGAAAATAGAATAATGAAATGTTTAGACATTGTCTTCCGAGGCGGGGAGGCTAAGAGCGTAAGCGAGGGCTGGGCTGGATCATGGTACATTGTGCATGCATGAAAATACCACAGTGAAACGCCTCGTATACCTGATATCTGCTAAGCAGGAGCACTTGAGGAAAAGCTAGGAATGGAAGCCTTTGGAGATTGAGGTGTACATTCATGCTGTGATGTTTGGGTAGGTTTTTATTGTGACATTACCGACATACCAAGGAGTCTCATAATCCCCTCCCTTCTCTCTCCTTTGTTCTCAGCAATGGAAGAGTTAATAGTTGAACTTCGCCTCTTCCTCGAACTCCTTGACCATGAGTATCTCACATCCACCATCAGGGAGAAGAAGGCAGTGCTCAGCAACATCCTGCTGCGGATACAGTCCTCCAGAGGTGGGCTCGGGTACAGTCCTGCAGAGGTGGGCTCGGGTACAGTCCTCCAGAGGTGGGCTTGGGTACAGTCCTCCAGAGGTGGGCTTGGGGACAGTCCTGCAGAGGTGGGCTGGGGTGGGGGTGGGGGTCAGCCCTCCAGAGGTGGGCTCGGGTACAGTCCTGCAGAGGTGGGCTGGGGCGGGGTGGGGGTGTCAGTCCTCCACAGGTCAGCTGGGGTACAGTCCTGCAGAGGTGGGCTCGGGTACAGTCCTCCAGAGGTGGGCTTGGGTACAGTCCTCTAGAGGTGGGCTCGGGTACAGTCCTCCAGAGGTGTGCTCGGGTACAGTCCTGCAGAGGGGGCTCCCTTCTCCCAGCCCCTTCACCTCCAGCCCGCCTTGGATTCCACCTCCTTTCTAAGATGTTTTGCCCATTCATCGATGGTCATTGGAGCTGTTTATTTGGCGAGTGTCCTTGAGAGCCTGTCTTGTGCCAAGTGCTGGGCTATCTGCCAGGAGTGAATAGAATTGTGGGGCTCCCAAGAGCACCCCACTCTTAGCTGGAGGGTCAGGACCTGGCGCCATGTTTCTGTTTCCAGAAGCAGCTCAGATGCCCGCCGGAGCTCTTCCTGGGGTGCCTTGTAGGCTCTTTAGCACATCCCTGATCTTCAGACCCTGCCAGGAAGAACCGGGTCTGCATGGCCCACGTCCTCTGTGCAAGCAGCGTAGCCCCGCAAACACCTTCCCTGTCACTTCTGCACCCACGTTCCCAGATGCCCGCCGGCCAGCCGGCAGCAAGAGCAGCCTCGCGCTGCCGAGGGGGGACGGTCCCCGCACACTCTCTGTGGTGTTGGGAGAGGGCTGAGGGGACGCTGGGCCAGGTTAGAGAGGCGGAGGGCACAGGGCACGCGGGCAGCAGGTCCGCAGGGGACCCGTGGCGCTGTCTGGATTCTGCCCGGGGCTGGGTGATCGATGGCGGCGGCTTGGACTAGCGCCTACTGGGATGACATGGTGTGGGGGCCTGGGTGGGCGGAGGACCTGACACCCTGACCCCGCCTCTCAGGCTGCTCCTCATGCCCACTCTGGGCCTCTGACCGCTTCCTCTGACCGCTTCCGGTCACCAAGCCTTTCTTCACCACCTGCTGTGCTAAAGCACCAGCCACGTGGTTTTGTTGTTTTTTTTTAAACCGATGGCTTCTATTTCTATTCCCCCCCAACACCTCCGCCTCCCCTTCCTTGCCCTTCCCTTTTCCTCATCCCCTCCTCCTCCTCTTCTCCCGTCTCCTCTCTCCCTCTGCAATCCTGTAGTGTACTTAGTTACTTGGAAAGCAGGGAATAACGATCCCGCCTTGCAGATCGCTGTGGAGCACTGGAGAAGGAGCCTGCCTACAGTGCCTCTCACCAGCCCTGTGCTCTGCTTGCCTTGCAGGCTTTGAAGCCAAGGAGCACGCCCCGCGGCCGGAGAGCAGCAGCCTGCCAGCGCCCCCTCAGCTGCCTCTGCCGGAGATCCCTCAGCCGTGGCTGGTGAGTGAGCACTCCGCCCCTCGCAGGCACCCGAGGCCCGGCCAGCTCAGGAGGCCTGCGGCCTGGCCGGGATGCGGCCTGGCTGGGATGCGGCCTGGCTCGGAGGTGGCGTTGGGAGACTGCCCGAGCTCTGGGTCAGGTTCAGGAACAGAGACGCCGAGGTCGGGCAGGCAGAGCCAAGCCAGGGAGCCCCAGGGCTCTCGAGTCACCTCTGAGGTCCCCGGCTGTGACTGGGAATCTTCTGCCCTTAAGGAGTCATTTTCTTCAAGAGAGACCAAGTGTGACATGGTAGCATGGTGGCTTCGTTTGAGGTTTTGCGTTGAAGTCAAGTTTTCCATGTGCACGGGCCTGCGCCGCCCTGTGCAGTTCCAGGCCTGCTACCTGCTCAAGTCAGGGAAAGCGGACACGCTAGCCACGCCGGCACTCACTTTCTACACCTGCTGTCAGTGGGGTCAGCTGACGGGGGACTCGGGGGCCATGTCCCCTTACCTGTCCTCAGCAGAGCCCTGGAGCCCGGCGGGGGAGGGGCGGTGGCGGGCCTGGCTCACGCAGAGCCACGCTGCTTCTCGTTTATCCAGACGCCCTTACCCACGGGGTGCCTCCCCAGACCAGGGACGCCCTCACCCACGGGTGGCGGGAGGGAGACGTATGTTCCCAGACCCCAGTGTCGTCCAACTCTCCGAGGCCACGCCCCCCCATTGGCGGCAGTTCCTGTCTCCACATCCTCGTGAGGAGTTTGGATTTGTGACTAGGGCACCGTGGGATGGTGACCAGTGAGGAAACGATTGTGATGACACGCTGCCACAGCGTCAGTGAGGGATGGCAGGGGAAGATGGCGGCGTCTGGGCCCGAGCTCGCCGGCGTGTGTTGTAGGTGGTATACGAGGGCGCAGGCAGAGCTGCACATGCTCTGCTGTGAAGACCGCTGCGATGTCACACACCCGGCGCGAGCCCCAGGGCACAGCCAGGGCCCTTCACCAGCCTGCTCTGCCCAGACACTCCATGCCGCTCATCTTCAGCGACATTCATCCTGCCGTGACGGCAAGGCCGGCTCTCCCTGACTTTGGCAGAGAGGCCAAAGCTGACCTGATTGCCTAAATACCATTCGCCCCTTTTTCACATTACTGATGGACGCGGCATGCATTCTTAGAGGTAGAATTACTGAGCTAAGAGTGCTTCTCTATGAGCTTGTTCCCAGCGTGTGATCACCAGGAAGGATCGACAGTTTAACGTCACAAAGGACATGGTGGCTCTTGCCTATAATCCCAGCTACTCCAGAGATAGAGATTGGGAAGTTTATAGGGCGCGTCTACGCGGGGATTGCAAGGACAAGGGAACCCATCCCTGGGTCAGAGCGGCCCCGAGGCCAGCCTGAGCCGGTCCGAGCCAGCCCGGCTGCGCTGGGGAGGGCTGCTGTGCCCAGGACCGGCTGCTGTGCAGCGTCTCACTGGTAGGCTGGTGTGGCCGTGGCCGTGGCTGTGGCTGCGACCAGGACCAGGACAGGGCTGGTGTGGTGTGAACAGGAGCTGGCCTTGCAGCCTGGGGCTGAGGGCTCTTGTCCAGCGACGGCTGTGAGGAGGAAGTGCTGTGGGGTGAAGCCCCCCCACCCCAAGCCAACCCCGAGTTTTCCTCTCTCAGCCTCCTGACAGCGGGCCTCCGCCCTTGCCCACGGCCTCGCTCCCTGAGGGCTACTACGAGGAAGCGGTGCCATTGAGCCCCGGGAAAGCCCCGGAGTACATCACAGCCAGTGAGTGGGTCCCCGGAGCGGGTGCAGCGGGCATGGGACACAGCCATGGCTTGGGGTTCTTCCTCTTGGTGGTACTTGGGTTTGAACTCAGCCCCTCGCACGCTACGTTGGCACCCTGGCACTCTACTGCCGATCCAGGCCTCCAGGCTAGTTTTTTTTTCAGGTAAGGGGTAGGTTTATTCAATAGACCTGCTGGGAGAAAGAGCTGGGAAAGAGAAGAGAGAGCTGGGAAAGAGAAATTGCTGGGAAAAAGAGAGAGCTGGGAAAGAGAGAAAAGAGCTAGAAAAGAGAAGAGAGAGCTGGGAAACAGGAGAGAGCTGAGAAAGAGAAAAGAGCTAGAAAAAGGCAGAGCGAGGAGGCTAGTTTTTTTTTTCCAGTTGCTTTTAGGAAAGTCACGGTCCATCTTGAGGCTTCTTGTAGTTGCTGGGATTATATGGGTGCGCTGCTGCATCCGGCTTCCCTCTGTGCAGACGGAGTCTTGAGGACGTTTCTGCCAGGGGTTGGCCTCAAACCTTGATCTTAGTCTTCCAAGTAACTGAGATTACAGGCAGGAGTCACAGAGCCCAGCTTAGGGATGGGTTAGTCACTTCCTGTGGGAGCATTTTATTGAGTTAGTACAGCCGCCCCTTTCTCACTGAGTTTCCTCAGAGATTAGAAAATCGGTGTTGTGCTCCTCTAACCTGTGCTACCTGCCTGGCAGATTATGACTCGGACGCCATGAGCAGCTCCTATGAGTCCTATGACGAGGAGGAGGAGGATGGGAAGGGGAAGAAGACGCGGCACCAGTGGCCGTCGGAGGAGGCCTCCATGGACCTGGTGAAGGACGCCAAGATCTGCGCCTTCCTGCTGCGCAAGAAACGGTTCGGCCAGTGGACCAAGCTGCTGTGCGTCGTCAAGGACACCAAGCTGCTGGTGAGCGCATCGCAGTGCCGGGCGTGCGGGGCAGGGAGCCGTGCTGGGGCTGCGTTGATCGCCGGAGCCGGGCCCTGGAGTGCTGGGGGCACGGTGAACGCCAGAGCCATCCCAGCTCAGTGAACAGGCTGAGCTGGACTGAGCCCCGCCGAGCCCTGGCTGGGCCTGGGCGGGCGGCAGGCCAGGCTGTGCATCCCGGGCTCGGAGCCTCCCCGCCCTGCCGGGCCTGCGGCTGTCAGTGGAAATGCTCGAATGCTGTAACTTGCCAGGCGGTGCAGGATGGACCGTGAGTCAGTGAATTCCTCCCAGCCAGGTCACCATGGGAGGGGAGGCGCTGGGGGGAAGGAAATTCTTTTGGAAATTAACCCAAGAGGCAACATAGGAAGTTGGAGAGAATGAACCAGAAGCTGGGGGTGGAAGCCGTAGCCCAGCCTGCAGCGGGCCATGGAGTTGTTCCCATGGAAGCCTCTAGTGAGGGAGGGGGGTGAGCCTCCATCCCCCACCCTCTCCTCCCCACTGGAAAACTTGCCTGGTCATCAGTTATGAACTCAACAGAACCTGTGTGTGTTTGCTCGTGAATGTTCATTAGCTCGTGTTCACGCACACATGTGCCAACACTAGGGCATGAACTTAGGACCGGGGTGCTGTTTCTTAACTATTCACGCTCAAGTCTGGTGCTGTACCACTTGAGACACAGCTCCACTTCTGGCTTTTTTCTGGTTAATTGGAGATAAGAGTCTCATAGTTTTGTCTCCCATGGTGGGTTTGAACTGCAGTCCTCAGATCTCAGCCTCCTGCCTGGTGCCTGGCTCTTACTAGTACATTTTTGCCTTCTGCTTTTCTTTCAAGTTGGCTGGTAATTGCTCAGAAGTGTGTCACAAAGCAAAACTGAGCCTTTCTGTTTTCACCAGTCATGTTTTAATGGAACAGATGATCATTTTTTGGTGGTTTTTTGTTGTTGTTGTTGTTGTTAAAACCAAGTTTTTTGACTTGTGGGAGTCATAATTTCCTCGAGTCACAGACCATCGTATGTTTTTAAATGAATGTCTTTGTCGGTGTCTTTTAGAACAGTGGGGTACATTGCTTCTCCACATGTGTGGCCTGAATGTCTCCCACATTGAGAATATGCCAGAAATGATGCTCTTGGGGATTTTAAAGCCTGAAGAACTCCATGAACACAGCCCTCATTTACGGTCTCATGTACTGGCTGCAGATGTGGTTAGAAGACGATATCTTAAGCACACACACCCCACATACAGCCTGGGCTGTGGGCGGGGAGCAGCATCTTGGGGTCCAGACCTGCAACCCTTCTCCCCGACCCTCTACATCTCTCCCTCCTCCCCTCTGGCCTTCAACGAGTTTCTCCTCTCTACATCCTAAGCATAGTAGCTCCCACTTAGAATACTTCCAAATAGTGGAACGAAAATGAAACATGGGCAGAAAGCATCGACTTTGATTAAATGCCGGATCAAAACTGTGTTTTTCAGACTGAGCAGAGAGTGGGTGACTGTCACCGCACTGCCCATCGCCGGTGGGCGGCGTGCGCTGCCTTCCGGCTCTGCCTCGTGCAGGTGGCCCTGGGGTCGGCACTAAGCCACCCAGGCTCCACCTGGGGGGTTGAATGGCACACATGCAGAGTCTTGTGTAGACTCTCAGGACTTGGTAGCATGTGATTTTTAGTGTCAATTAGTAAAATATCAACAGTGTCAAAGCCCAGTTTGCTAATGAGGAAGCGGACTCAGTGAGCCTGAACTCCCAGGCCCAGCTTGGACCAGCGACTGAGCAGAACCAGGTGTTCCGCACACAGGATGTCTTTGGTTCCAAATAATAAGACACCAGGGCTGCGGGACGCAGACCTCGGCTGTGAGCCAATCGCTGGGTGTCTTAGAGCACCTGGCGGGTCTGCCGAACAGCGTGAGCTTTGGGGGACACAGGAAAGCACACCTGGCAGGGGGGGCACAAAAGTGACATTTGCTGACCCTAAGCAGTGCTGGCTGTGTAGTCTCAGCAAATCCGAGAGAGCCTGGCATGCCACAGTGATCGTGTGAACGCTAGTGCATTTGATGCGTTATTCAGACAGAGTTGCAAAATGTTGTGAAGCAGCACCCCAGAACCTCCACCTTATCCAAGCAGGGCCTCCCTGGCTCCCGCAGAATCTAGAACCTCAGCTTTATCATGTCCAGATGCTCAGTAAACTCTTGGTAATGAGCAGGCGAAGGCCCTTCTGGGTCATGAAAGTGCGCATGCGTGTGTGTGTGCGTGGATACCTGCTAGTGTGCAGACCCTTCCCAACCTTGCAGCAGTTCCACGACCAACCCTGGCGCCACCCACAGTTTCACAATGCCAGGCTTTATTTTGCTGTGTTTTTTGAGTTAGTACTGGGGCTTGAACTCAGGGCCTGGGCTCTGTCTCTTAGTGGTTTTGCTCAAAGTGAGTGCTTCTCCGCTTGAGCCACACTTGAACTTCTGGCTTTTTGCTGGTTAATTGGAGATAGGAGGTGTCCCAGATGTTGCTGCCCAGACTGGCTTTAACGGTGATCCTCGGGTGGGAGCCACCGTGCCCGGCTCCGCGCCACTCCCTGACAAGACGCATTGGCTTGTGTTGAACGCAGTGCTACAAGAGCTCCAAGGACCAGCAGCCGCAGATGGAGCTGCCGCTGCAAGGCTGCAGCGTCGCCTACATCCCGAAAGACAGCAAAAAGAAGCAGCACGAGCTGAAGATCACCCAGCAGGGCACCGACCCCCTGGTGCTTGCCGTGCAGAGCAGGGAGCAGGCCGAGCAGTGGCTCAAGGTAGGTGGCCGCCGGCCCGCCGGGCGCCTCTCACCTCTCACCGGCCATCCC